ATGTATGTATGTATGTATGTATGTATGTATGTATGTATGTATGTATGTATGTATGTATGTATGTATGTTGTATGTATGTATGTATGTATGTATGTATGTATGTATGTATGTATGTATGTATGTATGTATGTATGTATGTATGTATGTATGTATGTATGTATGTATGTATGTATGTATGTATGTATGTATGTATGTATGTATGTATGTATGTATGTATGTATGTATGTATGTATGTATGTATGTATGTATGTATGTATGTATGTATGTATGTATGTATGTATGTATGTATGTATGTATGTATGTATGTATGTATGTATGTATGTATGTATGTATGTATGTATGTATGTATGTATGTATGTATGTATGTATGTATGTATGTATGTATGTATGTATGTATGTATGTATGTATGTATGTATGTATGTATGTATGTATGTATGTATGTATGTATGTATGTATGTATGTATGTATGTATGTATGTATGTATGTATGTATGTATGTATGTATGTATGTATGTATGTATGTATGTATGTATGTATGTATGTATGTATGTATGTATGTATGTATGTATGTATGTATGTATGTATGTATGTATGTATGTATGTATGTATGTATGTATGTATGTATGTATGTATGTATGTATGTATGTATGTATGTATGTATGTATGTATGTATGTATGTATGTATGTATGTATGTATGTATGTATGTATGTATGTATGTATGTATGTATGTATGTATGTATGTATGTATGTATGTATGTATGTATGTATGTATGTATGTATGTATGTATGTATGTATGTATGTATGTATGTATGTATGTATGTATGTATGTATGTATGTATGTATGTATGTATGTATGTATGTATACATGTATGTATGTATGTATGTATGTATGTATGTATGTATGTATGTATGTATGTATGTATGTATGTATGTATGTATGTATGTATGTATGTATGTATGTATGTATGTATGTATGTATGTATGTATGTATGTATGTATGTATGTATGTATGTATGTATGTATGTATGTATGTATGTATGTATGTATGTATGTATGTATGTATGTATGTATGTATGTATGTATGTATGCCTGTATGTATGTGTGTATGCCTGTTTGTATGTTTGAATGTGTGTATGTATATATGCCTGTATGTATGTAATGTATGCATGCATGTATGTATGTGTGTGTAAGTGAGTGTGTGAGCGTGTGTATGTTAGTGTATGTATGTATGTATATGGGTGTGTGTATGCACGCGCGGGTTTTTGCATTCACTTTACAACTCATGCTTTTGTGTTCTTTTATAATATTCATAATATGCATTTCATCATATAGTCATAACATGCTTTATTAGTAAAATACAACTGCTGTGCGAAAGATGGTTGACTGTAAGGGCCGAATGTAAGACGGGCCTGCGTGTCCAATTTGTGACCCTTAGAAAATAAAGTTCGTTCTCTCTCTCTCTCTCTCTCTCTCTCTCTCTCTCTCTCTCTCTCTCTCTGTTAAGTCATAGACGTGGGATCTAGTAAAAAAATCGCCAAGCTCAACGAACATCCCCGAAGGGGGAACTTTCGGTTATAATTGTGCCTAGGTTATGTGCGCCATAAAAATTGGCGTAGCACTGTCTATCAGCGAGCTAGTGGACGTCCTAGTCGCCGATGAAAGACGGTGGAGGAAGATTACTTATATTTGTCTTCCCCTGTCTAGTCATCTGGTAAGGGCGGATTGGTTGACGGAATGTGGGTTAATGGTTCAGAGAAAGATGGATATTAAAATTTAAGTTTTTATATTTTTATTCTTTTGTATGCTTATGTTCAAGACATTTGGCTGTATGTGGTGTGTTGTAAGCGTGTACGTGTGTGTGTGTGTGCGCGCGCGGGCGCGCGTATTTCTTGGTTCCATGTTGTTGCTTAGAAGCTCTGTTATCTTTTCCGTTGGGTTTGTGTTGCATTTAATGTTTCGCTAAAAGGACATTGGTTGAAACGTTCGGCTGCATTTTGTGCGCGTTTTTTCCACTCCCTCCCTTCAGCTTTCTATCACATTTTGTGTTGTATTTATCAGTACGTTGAAAAAGACTTTGGTCGAAATGTTCGGTTGTATGTGCGCGCGAATTTTTCGCTCCTTCCATTGACCTTACTAGTTACACTGTGTGTGGTTTTTTTTTACCACTGGGGATATATACAGCATAACCCACAGAGTACAGAAAGTTCGGTTCTTAATTTATAACGTACCCCAAACACGAAATCCCCGTGGGAAATCCACAGCTGATCTGACAGTCCATTATTTCAAGGGGTGGAAGTGTGCTGTTGTGTGGTGTTTTTTTTTTGAGTGTTCATCTAGTCTTCTAATGCTAACCCTAACCCTAAACTTGGCTGTAGATAAATAGCGAGAAACTACCACCTGAACACCCTAGAATTGATTGGGAATGTCTCCCGTGACGTTGTCGTGACGTCAGGGGTAAGTTATAAATTAAGTACCGAAAGTTCTATACAGTTTGAGTCTAACACTATATGGCCAGCTGCACCACTGTGTTAAAAAGGGCCCTTTACTTTCATTTAGGGAGCCGCAGTCATGTAGAGGTTAGGCGCTCGCCTGTGTTTCGGATGTCGTGAGTTCAGGTCCTGATAGAATCGAACTTTTTTCACAAAATGACCTTGGCTGCCAGGTCTACCCAACCTTGAGTGCGTACCAGTGGGTTCAAACCTTAAGTGGGTGGTGACCACATCATCCATCGACTGCCGATTGGTCTACAAAATATAGATCTAGCCCTATATGCTTAATACGTCTGAAATATGGAAAAGAGTATTTACTATAATGATATTGGTAATAAGTGAATATTTCACAATCGAACGGATTTAAACTAACTCCATCGGACAGTCAAGCTAATGGATATTAACGTGTACCCCTGAAGTATTAAACAGCATTAAAAGGCTATGGTTAAACACCATTAAGGAGATCAATGTTTACATTTTGAGAGCACGCATCTTCCCTGTAGCAACAGGCGGTGTGAGTCGTGGACTATCCCCCAGTCCTTAAGGGATAAAAATAGATGCTTGTGAGCCGAAATGCCATCAAAAGATTCAAAGAATATCATGGACAAAGAAGAGATAAAATATTGACACTCTAAAAAATCTAAACTTCAAGGAAGATTGGCTGATTAACAGCATCTTGTCTCAGAAGTTGAAACATTTTGGCAATAACAAGCGCCAAGGTAGATTAGGAAAAAATAATAGCAGAAGGCATGGTACCAGGAAGGAGGGGCAGGGCCGACTAACACGAAGACGGGCACACAATATAAAATACTAATTAGATATGAGGGGGCTGTGTGGTCTCGAGGCATGTGTCCGCCTCGAGTGCTAGAGGTTCCGGGTTCAATCCCCAGTAAGTGCTGATATTTTTTCACGTGGACTTCTAGTAATTCCCCCTAGTCTCTGAGTAGTGAGATCGGACGCCCGTGTGCATTGTTGCGCACGTAAAAAAAAAAAAAAAATCCCTTGGCAGTTGAAAATCGAAAAGAGTAGCCTAACGGCGCTGCCTGGGCAAAATGTGGAGTTTAAAATCTACGCAAAGTATTTCAGGATCCTCGCCGGTGCTACAGAGCCTGTGCACTTAGCTGAGCTTCTTCAGACTCAGACTTCAGTTAGAAGAAGAACGGAGCACTTATGGGTTATACTACCCGTGTGCCATGATGTTGATCCATTGTTCAAACCTCAAACCCCCCTTAGATATGAAAGGGCACGAGGCAGAAGAGCTGGCAGAGGAGTTCTATGGCATAAGTTGTACATTTGCGAATGGATCTATTTAGCCTACTTGTCACATGATATCCACAGTTACTCATGAATGATGCTAGCAACGGCTACTTATCGATGTAACCCCAAACAATTTCTACTACACTTAGTGTTGTCCCTTGCCAATGGATGTCTGGTCTACCTAGCCATGTCCCCTCTTATGGAATCTAGTCTACTTACCAATTTTCATTACCAATGAATCTGTAGTATATGTAGCGATGTAGCCTAGATATTGATTTCCTTCGCCAAAGAATTTCTAGTCTTCTTAGCGATGTTCCCTGTCAGAAGAGTTCTACCCCTGCGAATGAATATTTTGTCTGCTTGTTGATATCCACTACTCATGAATTGCTAGTCTACTTATCGATGTTCCCTACTAATTAATGGACTTATAAGCGCAGCGATGTACTTAAGCAACATCTGAAATCGTCAATGATTCCCATAACGGTTTTCTTCTCAAAAAAAAAAAAAAAGGCGGATTTCTAAACAAGACAACCAGTAATAGAATAAAGGGACTTTTCTTCTAGTCGTGCTAATAAGACGAATAACAAAATATTAGCGATTTGGTTTAGTGGTGCAAAATAGGAGGAATTCAAACAAGAGGGATTTAACTTATAAGTGTAAATGACGAATAAAAACGGGGGAATTAGATCTAGTCGTGCGAATAAGAGGCGTCAAAACAATGGAATTATATCTAGTCGTGCGAATAGACGAATGAAAACGGGGGATTTGTATCTAGTCGTGCGAGAAAGAAAAAAAAAAAATAATTGCATGTTTTCGTACAAACAAGCTGGGGAATAAAGCCGAAACATGTCTATTTGTGCCAATACAGCCAATGAAAACACTAGGGAATTAGAACTTAATCCCAACAATTTGACGACGTATTAAATTTAATGGGAATTATATAGTTAACTGTGCGGTTAGCAGGGAGCAAAACTACGTTAGAGTGCTCAAAAAAAAAAAAAAATCTTTAACTAACACAATGTACTGTGAAAGGTTACAAGCATTGATGTTACTAACAATAAAATCAACAGCTAGTAATAAATAAAAGTAACTTAATTGGAAATTCTAGATACTAACATTCCAGAAAAGATAAAAGCTATATGGCTATTGACAATTTTTTTAAAGACTAATATCATTCAATTAATGTTTGTTACGTTTGAGCTAACTAGAAAAACAGTGTAGTCTAGACATGTAAAAGCCGAAAAATAGTTACCCGGGCTGCCATAGATGTTGTTGGTTTTTCTAAAAGATCCCATACTTTCTGCCGCCATATTGCGAACATTCCTGTGCCGAAATCATCCTCATCTCGTTGTCTGATGGATTCCGCTTCTTTTCGTATCTCCTCGAAGACGTGTTCCTTTCGCTGGTGATATCTGTGCTGGCAACAGGACTCCAGGTATAACTCGTCAACACCCCAGTACTCCAGATCCTCAGAAAAAGACAACACACACATCTCCTCAACCAGATGCAGCCGGCCAGTTCTGTAGAAATTGAGGATGGAAGCAAAAGACCGAGGATGTCTGTCGAAGAAGTACTCGTTCTCGTTGATGTTGTAGTCGTCGCAGAGATCCATGAGAGCTTCATGAGTTGTACATTCCCTGAGTTTTCCTAGACGAGTGTGAGGCATTCGTTCCAGCGTCCGCCATAGTACCTCATGCTTGACTCCACCAACGTTGAGAATGACTCGTTTCCCGCGCTGTTTTGATCTGGCTATAGCGTAGGGGTCGGGCGGGTGTGGATCCGTGAAAGGATAATATCGTTCGTGAGGCGGAGGAAGCATCGGTTGACCGGAACTGGACGGACCATGGTCAAGATTGCTGGAACCGCCCATGCTAGTCAAAGAACCGGCTGTAGAGGATGGAGTATTGACTGGCGGCAATTGTTCAGCGATTTTCACCTCAAGCCGTTTATGGTCCGTCCGAGACTTTAGACAGGAGTGGCTGTAATGCTGGCTTTCCGGGGGCGTAGTCGAAGAAGCGTGTTCAAAGCCGGCCTCACCGGTATAGGTCTGAGAAGGGAGGCCCCTGCTAAGCGAGTAGCTTTTTTTGCGCATGGCGACAGGTCCTGAGTGATGTCTTGGGAAACGCCATGACCTGCGCCTAAATTGTTGATGCCATCTGACGCCTGGCCAGATGTGGAGCTGCAACAAAAGAGATGGGAAATATCAAGTCAGAGCTGAAATCGAGAGGATTGACTTTCTTATACGGGTTTTACCCCACCTGTTTCTGTCCGTCGTTTCTAATTTTTTTTAATCGCTGTATATACACCTTGGGAACTCTGGCACCTAGTGGAATAAACTGTCAACACAGCTTTATCTAAATCCTAGGGGTCTGAACTGCCTACATAGTTTCCTCTTATCCTCGAGTGACGCCTCCTGGCATATCCCCGAATATCCGTTTTCTCGGCCCCACCTGCCTCTCCAGACAGTTGTCTTGACATCGACCTGGCTGCCACGAGATACGAAGATAAGTGATAATGTGTATTTGCGTAGTGTTGTCTAATCTATGTATGTACTGAAGAAGGCTCCATAACCGCAACGTTCACGTTTTGTTTGTGTTTGTTATATTGTGAGGCTCACTGATATACATTTCGTTCGGTTTCATATCTTTCCTCATTTTTTTTCTCCAAAGTCGCACAAAGCACGAACTTTCCAGCCCCAGCGACAATTCTCAGCGATTTTGGAAAAATAAAAATTGCGCTCTTGAACCGATCGATGCAGTCCTTGAAAAAAAACCACGACTATATAGCGAAACAAAAAGCTTGAGCAAAGACGCACGAAAATAGATAGAAAATAAAATTGTTTTCATAATTCTCTGTTCATCTTCACAAACTCAGTCTTCCCTAACTCTCTTTCTTCCATAATTCTCTTTCTCTCCCCAACTCTCTCTGTCAGAGATCGGACTTCACTCTTCCCCAACTTTCTCTCCTCAACTCTCTCTCTCTCCTAACTCACTCTTTCAGAGGTCCACCTTCACTCTTCCCAACTTTCTCTCCTCAACTCTCTCTCTCTCCTAACTCTCTCTTTCAGAGGTCCGCCTTTACTCTTCCCCAACTTTCTCTCCTCAACTCTCTCTCTCTCCTAACCCTCTCTTTCAGAGGTCCGCCTTTACTCTTCCCCAACTTTCTCTCCCCAACTCTCTCTTTCTCTCCCCTAACTCTCTCTTCCCTCTTTTCCCGAACTCTCTTTTCCCCATCTCCTGCGCAAATGTCAGTTTGTGTTTACACTCTCCTAATCCTCACGCTTCGCAACACCCAGTATCTCAAACAAGACTAAAAGCCCAGAGGTGGAAGAACTGAACTTTCCGCCAGAGTTTATAGCCTGTGAACACGAACAAGACTAAAAGCCCAGAGGTGGAAGAACTGAACTTTCCGCCAGAGTTTATAGCCTGTGAACACGAACAAGACTAAAAGCCCAGAGGTGGAAGAACTGAACTTTCCGCCAGAGTTTATAGCCTGTGAACACGAACAAGACTAAAAGCCCAGAGGTGGAAGAACTGAACTTTCCGCCAGAGTTTATAGCCTGTGAACACGAACAAGAACTAGGAGACTATTTCCTATAATATTTAAAAAGATATGGGCCCCCATCTTTCAATTTAATGTCTCTTTCTTAAATAAGAAGACTGGTTTTATGAGCTTCACTGTTTAATATTTCTCTCAAGATGAAGTTAACTTATTGCTTTCTCTACTGTTACCTCCAGAAATAGTCTATTAAATCATTCGTGACCTGATACCTCACTAGAGTACGGCTCTATTATTTTTTCCTTTCCGTTAGTAAATATTTAATATCCTCTAATATCAGTTTTTTTTAAAAATATTTTGAAAGTAGGTAGTCTGTTGAATCCTCCATTATCAGTGATTTTCGAAAGTGATAGTTTATGTACTGTCTGTCTGTCTGTCTGTCTGTCTGTCTGTCTGTCTGTCTGTCTGTCTGTCTGTCTGTCTGTCTGTCTGTCTGTCTGTCTGTCTGTCTGTCTGTCTGTCTGTCTGTCTGTCTGTCTGTCTGTCTGTCTGTCTGTCTGTCTGTCTGTCTGTCTGTCTGTCTGTCTGTCTGTCTGTCTTTCTTTTTCTTTCTTTCTTTTTCTTTCTTTCTTTCTTTTTCTTTCGTCCGCCAGTCCGTCTGTATGTCTGTCTGTCTGTCTCTGTCTGTCTTTCTTTCTTCCATCCATCCATCCATGTGTCTTTCTTTCTTGAATCTGTTTATCCATTCATCCATCCACTCACCCATCCATTTGTCTTTCTCTTTTTGTTTGTTTCATTCTTTCTTTCTGTCTTAGTTTGTTTATTAGTTTATTTATTTGTTTGTTTGTTTCTTTCTTTCTGTCTGTCTTTCTTCGATCCATCCATCCACCCATTTTTTTCCTTCTTTCTTTTCTCTAACATTCAAAGATGTTATCATACAAGCCAACTAGGATACACTCAAAGATGTTATCACACAAGTCACCCAGGATAACTCAAAGATGTTATCAAACAAGTCAACTAGGATACACTCAAAAACTTTATCACACAAGTCAACTAGGATACACTCAACGATGTTATCACATAGGTCAACTAGGATACACTTAAAAATGTTATCACACAAGTCAACTAGGACGAATTCAAAGATGTGATCAAACAAGTCAACTAGGATACACTTAGAGATGTGGCCAAACAAGCTAACTAGGATACACTCAATATGTGATCAAACAAATCAACTAGGATACACTCAAAGATGTGGTCAAACAAGCCAACTAGGATACACGCAAAGATGCTATCACACAAGTAAACTACAATACAACAAAGATGTGCTCAAATAAGGCAACGAGGATACACTCAAGAAATCATAAAACAAGTTAACTAGGATACACTTAAAGATGTGGTCAAACAAGTCAACTAGGATAAACTCTAGGTGTGATCAAACAAGTCAACTTGGATACACTGAAGATGTGATCAAACAAGTTAACTAGGATACACTTAAAGATGTGGTCAAACAAGTCAACTAGGATACAACCAAGATGCGATCAAACAAGTCAACTAGGATACACTGAAAGATGTGGTCAAATAAGTCAACTAGGATACACTGAAAGATGTGGTCAAACAAGTTAACTAGGATACACTCAAAGATGTGATCAAACAAGTCAACTAGGATACACTCAAAGATGTGATCAAACAAGTCAACCAGGATACACTCGAAGATGTGGTCAAACAAGTCAACCAGGATACACTCGAAGATGTGGTCAAACAAGTCAACCAGAATACACTCGAAGATGTGGTCAAACAAGTCAACTAGGATACACTTAAAGATGTGATCAAACAAGTCAACTAGGATACACTCGAAGACGTTATCACAAAAGTCAACTAGGATACACTCGAAGACGTTATCAAACAAGTCAACTAGGATACACTTAAAGATGTGGTCAAACCAGTCACTTAAGATACACTCAAGATGTCATCAAACAAGTCAACTAGGATACACTCAAGGTTTGATCAAACAAGTCAACTTGGATACACTCAAGATGGGATCAAACAAGTCAACTAGAATACACTCAAAGATGTGGTCAAATAAGTCAACTGGGATACACTCGAAGACGTTTTCACACAAGTCAACTAGGATACACTTAAAGACGTTATCACACAAGTCAACTAGGATACACCCAAGATGTGATCAAACAAGTCAACTAGGATGCACTCGAAGACGTTATCACACAAGTCAACTAGGATACACTTAAAGACGTTATGACTCAAGTCAGCTAGGATAGACTCGAAGACGTTATCACACAAGTCAACTATGATACACTCGAAGACGTTATCACACAAGTCAACTAGGATACACTCGAAGACGTTATCACACAAGTCAACTAGGATACACTCGAAGACGTTATCACACAAGTCAACTAGGATAAACTTAAAGACACACACACACATACACACAGTTAAACATAAAATGCCTGCCTGTTTGTTTGTGTGTACATTTTTAGTGAACTAATGACTTCTCCTGGTCACCAGTAGACGAGTTAAATTTTCAGTTGTCATTCTTTCAGCAGTTTCGAATTTAACAGTACATTTTCGGCACAACTTTCTATGAGTTTCTTTTAAATAACGCCCCGTCTATAAAAGTTAACTTTAGCTGGAGTCACAAATCTTGGAATAATTCCAGTGACCAAACATACGGCAGCGGTGGAGACAAAGGTGAAGCAGAGGACGAGAGAATACAATTTTGTTACCATACCGGGTAAAGTTAGAAATTATATATATAGAGAGGGATAGAGAAAGAGGGAAAATGTAGTAACCATAACTGACTGACCGAATTTCTACCCCATCTGGGCATCACACAAGCGATAAACACCCGATGGCACAATGTGCCAAAATATGGATGAGGATCACCGTGGAGAGGTCCCAGAAACCGCGTTCAGCCAGGTTATATTTATGGCCGGGCTATATTGCGGCCCCTGGCAAGAGCCAGAGTATGGCTTCGAGTACTCATAACAAATTTCGGCGTTATAAATTTGTGTCAAAGTTGTACAATGCCCCGCAGTACACAAACAAGGTGACTTCTTGTAACTGACATTCTTATGTAATATAGAATGAACATGACAGTTGCAGGTAAATAATCGCTTTGACCTCTGTTGCCACTTTTCTCATCACTTGTCGTTGTTTACCTGGCACTGACGGCTTGACAGTTTCAGGTTGAAGCGACTCCAAAAGATGCATTCCTTTATGTGCTCATGCGGGCAATTTGGCAACAGAGATAGTAAGCAATATGAAGATTTGTGGATGTAAAACCTCTCCCACTTCTCCAGAACTGGAGATCTTCAACAGAATGTATCAGGTCCTGTGCTGACACTTTTTCTATCTCGTGGCAAATGGCTGTCAAAAAACTTACCGTTCCTCCCGATCAGCGGTTCTCAACCTGCCGGTCACGACCCTTTTTGTGTGTGTGTCGAACGACCCTTTCACAAGGATCGCCTAAGACCATCGGAAAACACACATTCATTGAAGTTATGAAGGAAATAAATGGGTGGCTACAATATGAGGGAACTGTATATGTATTAAAGGGTTGCGGCATTTGGAAGGTTA